TGTAAATATAAAATATCCATCTCTCAGTTAATCCGCAATCAGCTCATCTCTCCCTACCTACAGGCCACAGGCTACAGAGCAGTGAGTGGGCATGACCACCAAGCCACGACGCAACAAGTACTCCCTCTGGGAGAAATCCATGAAGATGGCCATGAACATCGTCAGAGTGTCATCCTTCTCTCTATCAAAGGCGAGCCTTGGGGCTACGACCAGGGCAATTCCTGCTAATGGCAAGACGAATGGCATTAATCCTGGAAGCAGCCAAAGGTCGTCGTCACAGCAAGAGCCAGAAAGGGGTCCAACAACCCCTCCATACTTGATGTTTGAAGGCAATGGATCTTCACTTGTGATCAGTAAAAGATCAAACATTGACGACAGAGCTTCCGATTTTATTCAAAGGTTTCATGAAAAGAACCGAAACAAAACACACAACATGCCAAAGTCTGATCCACATCCCCTGATAGTGCCACCCCAACCACAACCACTTCTAGTGAAGTAGTATATATTTATAAATAGCTCATCTCATCTCTAGTTTCTTCTTCATCAACTGCTTTGTTAATTAGAGCAAAATCAGTATGGTAATAGGGATATTATGTATACTATATATATTTGTGCCTGAACAAGTGTTTTGAGTCCTTTTGTCTGTTTGTTGGTTTCCTTTATTCCCTTCTCTATAGCTGAAGGGGTTGTTGGCTTTATTTAAATTAGACTCTTTTGTAGCATTGCTTTGTAAAATATGGGTCGTCTCTTGTGCATATTCCTTTCCAACTTTCCATTTCCGTGTTTATCAATCAATTAATGAGATCAAGTGCTCTTATGGTTTTGTGTCAGAAATTATAGATTAATGGGTTCCAGATTATCTCATCTTAAAAGCTACTTTGCATCAAAAGAAGCTATTTCGATCAGTGCACCTTATCAAACTACGTCAATTTCTTATAGCATGTAATAGGTGCGAGATTAGAGCTGAAAATTTCTTAAACTATCCTTATGGTTTAGAGTTAGTCAATTAATTAAACTATAAGGATAGTTTAAGAAATTTGCCCTTCTTCTTTGAATTATTTATAGCGAAATTTCTGTGCTTGAGAGTTGGGAAGGATATCAGAAGCGCACGGCACAAGTTTTAAGAAGGCAATTTTTCTTTTTCTTCCTCCTTTTTGACTCGGAATTTCTACAGAGTACTACAGATAGCATAAATGGAATTCCACATTAATTCCATATCCCTTTCGTTTTGGACATGATTGTATACAAGCATATACTTTGTGGATGTTTCTTCTGTACGTATGCAATTATTTATGGAAATTTCAGCTTTGTAGGATTGATCTAGACCAAATTAAGTTTTTTAATTAGCTTAATCTCCATTGGAATGAAGCTACAGTACTAGAGATGAACTCAACTCAAAAAAGACTAGACATCAAAACAAGGAACAAGCATCAGAATCATGGAAAAACTTGTTCTTTTGGGAACCTTAGATGCCACGTTTACCGGCCGAACAGTGACTTAGAACCCAAGGTCGATCCAAGAAAAATTAACACTGTCATAAATTGATGACCACTAACAAGTTAAGTCAAAGGAGGCTTTCATTAATTTTCTCTTTTTCTGCGAATTTCGCTGCTTTTGGTCATATACATCGAAGTTTATATTAGAATTTAGAAGAAGCTCCATAGCCACCCCCACAACCCCACCATTATCTAAATAATAACTGTAAGAATTGCCGTCTGAGTGGCCAACAACTGTGAACTGTGAACTATTCACTGTGCGGGATCAAACAAGCATGAAAAGTAACGAAGAGTGATGATATATGCATGTGTATATAACGGCGTTTATTTGATCGCTGGAGTTCATTGGAAGGTGCAGAAGTTCTGAACAGAGCAAGTCGAGATGGAGGAAAGAGAAGAGGTTGATGGCCAAATAAACGGTTTCCGGAGACCATTTGTAGAATTGCAGGTGGTATACGAATTTCTGGGCAACGAGTGCTCCAGACCAATAGATTGCAATAGGCCCAGCATAGACTAATGGTTTGAGCAAGTGAACTTTGGTGATAGAAAGGGGAAAGAGAAAGAAACGGCCTAAGAAAGTTTTATCACCAGTAGTTACTGGATTATCGATTCCGCTTTCTTTTCTTCAACTAAACCAGTCGTCCCACTTGAAAGCTTGCTGCAAGTTGCACTAAAAAAATTAACATGTTAAGATTAATTAGTCGAAGTGATCGGTCTAATTGGATTTCCAGATAGAGAGGCAATCTCTTTGGTGGGATCAGCTGGAATGCCAATGTGTTGGGCCTGGGCTGAATGATGGTAGACCCGGTTCCGAATAGATACAGAACCAGCCCTATCCAATCGAGATTATCATGTCTGATCCGATGAGGCTGAGGTATATTTTCTATGTGCTAAATATACATATTGGAACTCCAAATATATACCCACAACCAATCCCATTATGTTAATGTACCCATTCAAATCAAAATCAATTTGGATGGATTGGATGGATCAATAAGACATATTGACCAATAAAAGTATTTATTGGATTGGATTGGACCTGGTCCATCAGTAATGAATTTATATTGGATTAGTTCTGATTGAACCAATATCTAATCCATTGATAGAGATAAGAATTCGGGTGTCAATGGATCAAATTTGGGTTAGAACTAATCTAAATTAAAACCAATTTAAAGAGATTGGATGGTCCAGACATTGATTTGGATCGATTCAAATTAAGTATTCATCAGATTGGATTGGACCTGATCCATATGTAATAGACTCATATTGGACCATTTCAGATTGGATCAAATCTAGTCCGATTGACACTCTTACCCATGACCAGAAAAGAGTACAAATACAAATATACACAATGCAAATACATACAAATTAATACAAAATACAAGGTTTTACACTTCATTGCTATACGACAGTGTACGGTATTATAGCCCTCTGCTGAAACAAGTAAATCAAAGCCTTTGATTTGCTGTGATAGCCCCACATTAGATGGAGTGACTTCTTTGGCGGTGCCACTGAACTCTTTACACTCCACATATTTTGTATTCAGCCTAAAATACATAGACATATGTAATAGGGTCAGACTGGTTCAGGGCTGTTAGCTGTTGACCTGGATCATTGATCCAACCCCCTACCAACTTCATCTCACCTGGGAGCCACCACAAAAGTGAGACCCGCCATGAATGAGATGTACGTTGGTTGGGGGTTGGAACGTATATTGTTGATAGGAGATCCGGAACATCAAGGTGTAATAGAAAAAAAACAAAAGAAAAATGTGTAATAGAGAAGAGCAAAGGCTGCAAGATTTGCATTTTAACCTTTGTAGATCAAAGAGAAACTACTAACCATTACCAAACAGCTTCTATCGAGTTCGAGGGATATAGTTCAGGCAATGTCAGTGTCTTTTGTCAATACTAAACCTAAGGCTGTGTTTGATAGGAAAATCTTTATAAACTTTGTATAGGTTTTCTTACCTTTTCCTTCAAACCAAACATAATCTAAAGGTTTCCAGCAATGCAATATGCTGCGAAAATCCACCTTGTATCAATTCGATGAACTGCTGTGAGTAGTGATTGCAAACTGCTCTTCTAATAATTCAAAATTTGAAAGAATATGTACAACAGGTCTGTATCTGTGGTTCCATATATGTTTGAGAGATTTTGATGAGAATGATATACTACTAAGTGGCCAAGTCGGATCCATCATCATCCATGGAGAGAGGGAGGCAGGACGGAGGCTCCATTTTCATCTAATGGTGAACAACTTCGTCAACGTTACCAATTGAGCACCCTCCGTAGTGACTGAAACACTTTGGTGCATTAATGATGGTTCCTACCATTTTTTTTCTTTTCAATCCTGAAAAGGGGAAAAAAAAGCGTAGCGCTTCGTCCCATTATAAGAAGGTCAATCTGATCTAATTTCAATGGTGTAGACGAGAAAATTAACTGGAGCCTCTGAAATAATTGGTGAAAGTCTTGCATAAATAAACCAGTCTTATTCATGGCTTTGGAAGTTGGAACACGCATAGCAGTCCTAACTCCTTATCGACTTAATATTTGTTCTCATTAGTAGACATTAAGGCTGTGTACAGGTTTTCCTTTCTTTTCCTTCAAATCAAACACAGCCAAGAGTACAATTTGGCTTTACAAGAGAGGGGGTGGATTAGGATTACCTTTTATCTCAGAAACAAAATTTCCAGCCTTTTTGTCCTTTTGTGCCTTGTGGTGGAAAATATACATTGGTATACACCACAGCTTCACAAGTTAGGACTTATGATGGTTATGGTCTTCAAACTTAATTGGAAACAATTGCAAGTGTTGTTTGGATGACTCTTTCTTTGACGTAAATATTATCTAACCTTCTCTCTCTCTCCCTCCTGTTTCGAAGAAAAGTAGGATCTTAAGCCACTTGTTGAAATTTAAGATTGGATCGTGGAATCAGATTTTTATACCTAACAACTAACGAAAGGTCAAAGGGCAATCTGTTGTTGAGCTACTTATACCAATTTATGTCCAATAAAGAAGAAGAATAAAAGGCAAGAAGGTCCAGATAGAATTGATCTCCAACAAAGACGGTCGTCTTTTCTCTTTATTCCTCCAGCGCACTAAAAACCGGCGTCTCAAAATAAAATAAAGAAGATTCTTCTCTCCACCAAAACAAGAAGTCTGCATCACTCCATGCTCTTCACTCTTCACCAATTCGAAAACCAGATGAATGTCGATCCCCTTATTAATTACTAGACTAGATAACATACATGTTTTATTGAAACTGCGAAATCCACATGCTAAAGTAGAATCTTTCCGTGAACCAAGCTGATAGCTCTGAATCTGATGAAAAAATACTGCAACAATGATGGTGAATTCCACCTGGTTAGTGATCTCCATAAGTGGATTTCAATATTCAGAAACCCAGAATTATAAACCCCCGAAGTTCTCCCTGTAATTCACTTAAGGAAAGCAGCTGTGTGCATGTGGGTTTGATCCAGACATTCCATTGCACAGAAAGTAATACGTGAATCAATCTCCATTCTCCAGCGCTTAACAAGTAAAACTAAATAGGTTGCTTACCAAAGAAAAAACAGTTGCAGGGGAGCTATAAATGCAACCCTTATTTGAGTTGTTTCATGCAAATCTTTAGACAGCAAAGCAACATGCAACCCATTCATTGTAGAAACGTAACTACAACTAGAGTTACCTACTACCCCCCATCCATCCATACAGAACCAGACAGTAAAACATAGAAATCAGAATTCTTTGACAGAAGATGACAAAATAAACAAGAATAAACCCCCCCCCTACAGTCCACTACCACAACAAGGCATCTCTTTATGGACTCTCTCTAACCTGTACAAACAAGGAATCACCTTATCTTCTCGAGTCCAAATCTAATCTAAAATCTAGTCCCAACTAAATCTCGTTTTCCTCTACAAAGATAGAATTTTTTATTCTCAGGCAACACTAATAATGCTTCCACCGTTGGAATCCAGCTCGCCGGCGCTGAAATTCGACATGGACTGAAAAGCTGAGTGTCTCGACGATGGCTGTTGATCGGATGACGGGGTGAAGAGTTTAAGCGACAACGGCGACGGATCCATTGAAGACTGTTGGTTCAAGTTAAGATTAGCCATTCTCGATGCAGGTGGGATCGGCAGTACAGGTATCGGGCGCACGAGTTTCGTTGGCGCACGAGTTAGATCGCTTTGTACCAGCGTCAGGCTCTCTGCAGGGTTCTCGCCACTACCGGGCAATACTACGGGACTGAGCGTCACCGGAAAAGCCGGCACCGGATATGCTATGTTACAGTTCACCGGCGCCGGTGGCTGAGTTGCGGTCTCCTGGTGAACAGTTTCTTCTTCGATCGGCAATCCCATAAACTATCAAAATCAAATAAAGAAAAAGCAAGCAAACAATAAATTAAGAAATAAGGTTATTCTGCAAGTTTGAACAATAAACTTGACGTAAAAAAGAAAACAAATTGAATACATATGAATAAAGTAAATTATGTCTAAACTCAAGTACCGTATCGGTGGTGATGTCGAAGAGACTAGATCGGCGGCGTCTCCGATTGAGGTTGTTTCGACGAAGGAAGTACTTCTGAGCATGGCTAGCTACCTGAGTAGGCGTACGAGTCTTGACGAAGTTTCTAGAAATACCTCTCCAATCTCCTTTTCCTACTTTCTGCAGGCCTACTAGGAAAAGCCTGTGTTCCTCTTCGGTCCACGGAACCCCTAATAACCATCGAAGAAATATTCAAAATCCTTTCTTTTAAACAAAGAAAAGATGCGTACAGAGCTTTACAGAGAGACGGAGAAAGAAACAACAAGATGGGAAATCTGAAAAAGCACCTCTCTTGCGCTCGCGGTTTCCAGCGGAGGCGTGGCAGACGTCATCGGAGGCGTAGCCGGCGTTAACGTCGGAGTTGGGCTCTTGGGGTTGTTCGTACTGCGAGAGATTGTTCATGCTGACGGTCTTACGGATCGAGCCCTCGATGACTCGAACACCGAACAGCATGAATCCACCGGTGGATTCAGAAGCGGCCACAGCTTCGGAGCAGGTACGGGAGTTGTGCCCGTTGTTGCCGCACTGCGAGCAGCTGCGCGACTGCGACATCCTGGTTGGCGGACGATAGGGGTTTGGTTTTGAGATCTCCTGCTGCTTGTTCTTTCTTTCTGCGATGTTCTTCTCCTTCTGCTTTCTCAAAAAGCGAGGAAGAAGAATCTCAGACCGTACAACAAAGTCTGAAGCCCATAAAACAAGATGAAAGAAGGGGAGAAGAAACAAATGTGTTTTTCGGAAAATGAGAATGGCCAGTGGCGCTTCGTTGATATAATGAATGGCTTTAGCGTTGCTTTGTTGGTTTGCGTGGTTCACTTGGAATCGACCAATCAGGATTAGGGGTCTGATGCTTATATTTTCCAAATTACTGATCAGAGACCGTCTAATTAGCAGCACTTGGAATCAACGGCCGTCAATGCACGATAACCTCAATAAAACTGGGAAATGGATCCAATGGTTCAGATCCGATTTTCTTTGTTGTTGTTCAATGAATGCAAGTCAGGAAGTGGTTGGGTTGTATTTGTATGGGTACTATGAATTATGAAACGAGAGAGCCCATATCATATTCATACGAGTCAATGACTCATGAGAAGAAGGAAATATTATCTAATTATCTAATTATCTAATTATCTAATAACGAGCGTCTGCACCGTCGGCTTCGTATATTCTCTAGTCTCTCTACTCGTTTGAGAAATATTTAATGCATGGGCTGGACTTGGATTCGTGTATGGGTCTTTTTCTTGCAAATCGCCATCGTGGGTTGGGAGGATAAGGGGACGTGGGCCCCCATGAACGAACGCGGAACACTCTCCTCGGCCTCAGGCCCGGGCCGCTTCTCCTTTTTAAGTCTTTAACCATACCATACCAACACCTTGGATGTGTGGTGTATAGTTTTTAGTGGATGCCGTTGTCTTTGGGTTCTCCTTTTTTTTTTTTTTTTTTTTGTAAATCTTGTGTCGTTTGCAATTGTAAAAGAATTGAGCATGTGTTGTTTCACTATTTCCCTTGTTTTTGTTAACTGATTATTTTAGTTTCTCGATAGTGCTTCTGTTTCCACTTTGTTTTGTTGTGGGCTGTTGTTTTGTTGCCACTCCTACATCAACGCCTCTATTATTGGGCTACCACTTTTGATATTATTCACGATTCTTCAACCCGACCCATAAACCCATACGGACTTTTTTTGGGTTGGTGGGATTGACCCATTTGTCCAGCTCAATATTCAATACAAATTCTGGCACCATCTTCTAAATTCTAATTGATTTGAGTGTAGACTGTAGAATTAGTGAATCAAGTGTCAAAGTGTGTATTTCTCCCAAGTCCCAACTATTTGGGATCGATCAGACAAATTCACAACTCATCATGAAAACATAGCATACAACTTTTCCTCCACCGGTCCAACCAATACCAGACCTTGACACATCACCTTTCTCCATCCATGATCCAACCCTGGATTTGAACCATTAATGTCATAAAATATAATTTCTTTATTATTATTGAAAACTTCTTATGTTGCCAGATGGCACCAGAAAAACAAGATTCTTTGCTTTATCTAGAAACCTAAAAGGCCACTGCTGAAGCTCTGGAGGTTAGTAAAAAACAGACTTTAACCTACCTACCTCTCTCTCTCTCACACAGAAAAGGGTAAAGTGTTATAAGGCAGTATGTGATAGGAGAGTGGTGATCGTGGTGATATCTTGGGCCAGACACCCCCAGGATCCAAACAAGAAGAAACATAGTAGATGAGTTTCTCCAAGAGCCATCCATTTTTCCATTTGGGAAGGGGAACTACTAATATTACTACTACTACTATTAGTAGTGGGCCAGTGGAATGCAGCCTTAAAGAAAACAAAACTACTTTTTGTGAAAGGAGCTTGTCTCGAGATTCCTGCTCTAAGGGACATAGTATTAACCCCCCCAAATGCTGAGAGAGAAAGTCGTCGTTTTAGGACCACTGACCAAAACCACTCCTCCTCCTCCTTAACTTTGACCAAACCAGAAAAAGGGAATAGAAACTGAATCAAACTTTCATCTTCATTTTTCATTTAATAAAGCTTTGATTCAACGAGATGCTTGCTGCCTGCTGCAGCTTCTCCCAATATTATATATATATATATATATGGTTTACTCTTTTACTGTACCAGTTTTAATGTATGTGGTCCCCGTTGATCCCAACCCAAACAACACCTTTGGTCCACTTGCACTCTACTTCTTTGTCTGCCATATATTAAACCAATCAATGCTTTTGAAATCTCATCGGTCGGGTTCCATTCCGATGGATAATCAACCCCGTGACAATTGGGAAGCTCATATACATAAAGTCTAGATGCTGTATGCAAACTAGATTTCACCAAATGTAAGCTGGTCACCACTGACCACTTTGCTGCTTTTAAAGCAAATTATTCTACCCTTACCAAACACCACCTTAAGACTTGAAACATATATTGTTTTATAAGTTATAACTTATAATCATTAACTCCATCATATGACCATGAATGGTTTTCCCCGAAAGTACAGTTAGGTTTCAGGCAAATCATGTGAATAATATATAATTGCATTCAACTAACTGAGCTAAACAATATATGGAATGGTGGATGCAATTAATTTTAGGTTAAGATGTTATTTGTCTTGCCAGGTGGCAATGAGGAATGCATGCATAAACCGAATATAAGTGTAACGTCAGTTGAGGTGGTAGAACAGTAGAACTGTAGAAGAACATCTCTTGCATCACAGCCATGCACCAACACAGCCTCTAGATTCTACAACTCCATACATTCCATTTATTGGGGTTCATGTGTTCAACGTCAACCATGAAAGTGGGAAGCATCTTTACTTCAGATAAGATGTTTTACGTCTTTCTACAATGTATTGAAACTGTGAGAGTTGGTTTCCTAGATTTCTAKCTCTAAGTCAAATGCTCATGATTTTCCTTTCTCTCCAGAGTCTCCATGATTATTAACTTGATGACTCCAGGCGTTACAAATTACAGAGCCAGCCCCAGCCCGAATTCTACGCCCTAGTTCTGGATTTAACTTGTTTACAGAAATCTGATTACATTAAGAGGATTTGAGTTGCAATTAAATAAGGGCCCGCTGGGCTGCAGGCACATGGTCGTTTCAACTTTGAGCCTCAAATCAGGTACGGGTTTGGAATCGTACCCAGCCCAGACTGGTGTTAAAAGGTGATGTCGTTTGTCTTGTGGTGGAGGTGGTGGTGATGGTAGATGGTGGGGTCGACACTTTGACACGCTGGCTAGCTTGTGGTATTGTCTCATACTGCGCCCTGTTAATCCCACTCTGACCCACCTGAGAGCCCTCTCTGTCAATATATACCCAACAAGAGAGGATGAAGGAGAAGAAGAAGGCTTTGTTTTTGTCCTCTGGGAGTGTACAATTTACCAGTAATCAGCCATTATAGGAATTGGGATCTGCTCCTCACTGATCACACCTCACACCGATCTCACAGTCACATCCCAACTCTTTGTTTCTCTCTTATTTTTTACCAAACCAAACGCAGCCTAGATACAATATACATAGTGGGTTAGGTGAGGCTGAGGTCAACCAAACCTACTCTAAGTTCAAGTCCATATGCTCAACCAGAACTGGGTATCCCAATCAAATCTGAAACTCTTGGAGCCTGCAAGTGCCTAACCTCAACCTAAAATTCTTCTTCTCAAAATTCAAAAGTAATTATGCTTCATTTTGAAGATTTCAATTTTCTTTTTCTCTGAGAATTTGATTGGGTGATGCGTTGGTCTCAGAAATTTTCTTGGTATTTTTATGAAACTGCTGTCAACAGAACAGTCATGAGTCGCAATTACCTCACCTTTCACTACCTGACAAGCATTGTGTGTATATCGTTGATCAATTTATACAATCAATTCAGACAATAATAGAAACTAAAATGTAGTGGGGTTAGGGGTTAGGAGACTTCTTTTCATTTTGAACTTTGGTGGTGAGCAGAGTAGCGGTCAACAAAATGAAATAGAATGACACAAGGGAAAGTGGAATCCTTCAATATTTCACAATTCACACCTTTCTTTTTCCCTCTTCTTTGTCCCTTTCTTCTCCTGTCTCTATTAACAGAAGAAAACGGAGGAAAATTGGAAAATTCAACCAATTTACGGGTAAAGTCAGTTCAGAGCGTGTTACACTCTGTTTCTCTAATATAATCTTTCTTTATCAAAAAATTAAAAAAAAAAAAAAAGAGTTTAGAAGCAAAGACCCTAATGTCTGATGTTTTCTTTAGTCTTTTTCAATTAAAGTTGGCAACCCAGGTTTGGTCAAGTAAAACAATTGTTTTTTTTTCTGTAAGTACTCCCATAGCCTAGAGGCTTAAGCTTTTAGGTTGTAAATAATGTTCAACATTCTTTAGAATCCGGTCAGTATTAATCTATCTCTTTTGTTAATTTGGACAAGGTTCAAATCGAGTGTTTTAAGATTATCAATTTTTTTTTATTTTTTTTTTACTTTCATATATATTTACAGTGAGGTCTGAGGACTGATTTAAATAAATACTTTATAACATTTAAAAACATGAATTTTTGAAAAATTCTTAGAAAAGTACAATACGCCTGAAATCGATACTTTGAACCTTGATATGGATTATTGAGGTGATAATTTGGACAAAGCATCCAAGATTTGGATAGCGTATCTGCCTTCAATCGCTATCTTATCCAAGCATCTGCCTCTTAAAAATCCTCCACTGACGAATGGCCATTAGTTCTGGTTGTGGGGTTCCGCACAAATGCACAATTCAAGCTAATTGAAAGGTCAAATCCACTGTCAATTATTATATTAATATAAATATAAAATGGGGTATGGGTGTCGGGCTTCCCACATATATTTTCCCCTGATGTTTTATTTTATCCATCAATCGGTTGTTTGCAGCACACAAGAATATGTGGTAGTCCATTTTTTTTGTAATAGATCTAAGGAAGCAAACACTGGCGGTACATAACCCTGCCTACTTTTAAGTAGAAGCACAAATTTGAGATTTTCTTTGGGGGGTGGTGGTTCACACTTCACAATACTCCTCTGATGTATTTTTTTTTTTTATAATACAAACAAAGCCTTAATTGTTTGAATGTCTTGATTCAGTGATTGGATTTATAGATTAAAATATTTAGATAACATTTGCAAGCATTGTCATCATATGATGCCATTAAAATATTCTAATTTAATTTATATGACCCGAACATGAGGCCAAGGCATTTATCAGCATTATATAGTAAAGATAAAAGCAAAATACTTTAAATGCTACATCAGCATTGTCTCTTTCAAACATGTTTCAACCTAATTGGAGAGAGGGAGGTTGCATTGCTGATTATGGTGAAACACAATTATATATAGAAAAAAAAAAGGACAGATGCCAAACACCCTCTTTACTCGGATTAGGTATGTATTCCCACTATGAACTATAATAATAAAGGAAACTAATGAGTTGGGATTTTTATATTTAGAATGCATGTGCATGGAATGGATGGATTTAAGTATTTATTATACCATATATATTTTAGTCATTGTTACTAGTGAAAGCATCTGAGACCTTATTTTTCTATTTTTCTATTGCAAGTGCTGAGTGGGAGAAAAGGAAGGAACAGTGTGAAGTGGCTATAAATAATAAAATAGTGAGTTAAATAAACTGAGAACAAACTTGGCAAAAATGAGCTTCAACGGTGCTCGGCTCAACTCAATTCTTTATTCATAAACCCTATCTGGGCAAAAAGCTTAGTTGATCTCGGCATACTTTATTTGGAGGTTAAGACCTTGAAGGCTGAAGCCTTGCACAGTATCAAACAACTAGGAGCTCCATATCTACAAGTATAAACAAGGCAAAAAACAAAGAAAAAGAAAATCCCATCCTCCTTTAGAAATCCTCCGAGATGCAATACAGACAAAGGGATGGCATCCAAAGCAGAACTTTGTCATTGGAATTCTGTTTACGGACACCCCCATCAAATACCTCTAGAGACGTGCACAATCAAGCATCTTATTGTTAACGAGGAAACAATGGATCAGTTCTTTGATCTGATCTTGGTATTCCATTTGCCCACCAATGAATGCGAACTACTTCAAATCTGATCCTTATAATTGATTCAATGTAGCTCCTGTTGAGTCTCTTAACCGGATTAGGACTTGGGAAGGAAAGTTTATCCTTGCCCATTTCTGCTACATGGAGCAGGTGAAGAACTTCAACTACATTGGGCTTGGGCCCATTCAAAATTTGACAAACATTCAACCCACCCCGGCCCAAGTTGAAGTTGCATCCCTAACATAGTAACATGGAGTGCGTCTAGGGCCAACCATGCCATCAATACCGAGTAGAATAAGGAACCAGTGAGGAATACTGATCAATACGATAATATAAAAATTGCTCATTGTGAGAAAATGTTGATCATACATTCATATTCTTGCTTATAAATCTACTCTTAAAATGCTTTTGCACGTGTCCAGTGCTAGTTCTTACGTTACAAAAGGACTTATTTTGGGTGGCCAGACGCCACTGGGAAGTTTAGGTCCTCAACAACCCAACAACCCGGTTCATATAGTTATCATTTATGTATATATTATTTATGTCAAGAGAAGTGTCTAGGACTTGAATTCATGCAATCGCGTATAAACTTACCCTATTTTTTGAGGATAGGCTTCATGCAATTGTCTATGAACTTACTGTGTTTCAGCACTACTGCACGAAGTCTGAGCTAAAAAACCTGACGCTATCAATGATTTTCCCCCTAGAGATGCATACTTGGCCCTCGTTAGTTGCACAAGGAAGCATTCTTTTAGATGTGCCCCCCCGCCTCTGAATGACCAGAAGAATCATTGAGACGAAGGCTACTTTGTAAGCAGTAGTTTCTGCATTACTTCCTCTTCTTCCATCCCCCCCACTCGGACCTGCTGGGGCAGCGAGATAAGAAAAGATTTTCCTGTTGAATGGCCATGCAGTTGTTCCTAATCAGAGACTACACAAATCTACCGTGAGGGGCACCTTAGGAAAAGGTTATGATCAACTATCTCGTTAGCGAGCACAAAAATCCCTCCTTATCTTTATATTTGTATCATACGTATCTATTCTCGAAACTGCACCAACTCTTCTGACTAGAAAAGAATCTTTAGTAATGGTAAGGAAAAATATCGTCCATACACGTTTAAAAAGAGAGCACCCCCTGTACAGGCGAGAACAAAACTTCCAACCCCGTTCATAAATTGGCTCTGAACAGATCAGCAACCAATCTAATTGAGCTTTTCCTATGCCGGCCGGATCTCAATTATCTCACTAACCATGTTTTGAGCTGTTTGGCAGCTGAAATGCGTATTTGTTAAATAGGACACTTTCCCCACCAAGAGGATGCATCAGCTGCTATTTCCCAACACCAGCAGCTTTCATGAGTAACTGGTCCCTGCTTTTTTAAGTTTATCTCAGTAAGGGGGAGACTAATATCCCAGCTACGTGGGCAAGCTCTGCAAAATTCATGAGCCAATTAGGCAGTGGTTGTCATAAGTTCAGTTCTTGTTCTTGTGCTCATCTCGGAATCGTCATTAACATGTAGGTTACCATCAGAACCACTCCTTGATGTCTTTCTGCCGGGAAGGGGAAAATTGGAGTTAGTGGTGTTAATCAATTTATCCCTTGTGGACCCCTCTGAAGATGGCTCAGGATCTGATAAAGTCCGTTTCAGCTGAGGTCGATGGCAGATTATCCGGCCCTTGTTCCAACCAGGGAAACAAAAGGATGATAATGCATTATCCTTCAAAAATGAATAAGCCGCCTTTGCAACAGGAAGTTCCCGTGTTATTGAACTTTTCTCCATCTCTCCCCGTCTGGTTAACAGAAAAAGAACACCATCAGTAAAGGATATTCAAACAATGCTGCCACTTCTCCAGCTCTTGTAAAGATATAAGGCAAAGTTTCAATCAAATCACAAAAACCATAAAATCTATGTCTGTGCCTTGTAGTCAGCTGTTCCATTTGTAGAAAAACAAATGCAGTAGACTACTGTACACTCATGATCATCTGGATAGCTCAACATCAGTAGAAGAATGTTAGACTTCCTGCATGTATGATGGGGACAGGTATATCCATAGGAACACTTTCTGTTTAAGATATTAGAGTGTAGATATGAAAATAAGAAAAATTCTTACACTACTACCACAGCTGCCAGCTGAGGAAGATCCATTCCATTGGTAAACATGTCATACATGTTATTGAGCCAAACTGATATAGAAGCAAGGGCACCACCTACTGACATCCTGGCAAGGAATAAAGCTCAATGTTAGAGACCGACAGAGAACGCAAATAAGAACAATAGTTAGCAGCACAAATGATACCTATGCACATCCACAGACCACATGAGCTTGCTTTTGCGGAACAGTTCAGGAAAGAGACCATGCTTTGTAGCTTCATTCAGAACTCTTGCAGCTCGCTCCTTTTGTCCCAGCCACCACAGTGCATCTAGAAGTGCATTATAGAACCTAAATCCTAAACCACAGCCTTCAGAGTTAAACTTGTCAAAGATGTACTCTACCATCTGCCAGTTAGAGTCATCATCATAATCCCCCTTGATCATCCGTCCTATCACTTGATGAGCATTTGATACCTTATTTGTGACCATCTCATTTAGCAGCTCATGGACGTCATCCCACCTAAAATTTATGAACTGTAGGAGTGAGCCAAGTTGCCATTAAAAATAGAAGAAAAAGAGAAGATAATGCAGGCATTGATAAGGAATAAATTATTATCACGAGGAACTGAGGATAAAGAACTATTAAAAACCATGGATACACGTGTCCTCTTTTATGACCATACAGAAATATGATTCTCATAAATCAAAAGGAAAAAGAAGACATCAAACAAGTCAATTGTCAAAATGTATCAGCTTTTCTCGTTTAAAGAGTGGTCTGGAAGTTTTCTAAACCAAAAAGGATTCTTAAAACTACTATCCAGGTGTGCCTCAAATTCCAATAGAAGAAGCTATTTGGCATACTTTATATTTTGCCCTTTGAAAAAATTAAGGTCTGTGTAGCCCTCAACCTCTTCTATTTCTTCCTTAGCAAAGTTTGCTTTCTTTAATCCTGAACCATATTTAGAGTTAGGGGTGTTCAATATATGGTCTAGACCGCCAAACCGCACTGAACCAAACCAAAATTGTCGGTTTGGTCTCCTCTGGCCGTAAAACGGTTTGGTTTGGTCTGAGAATTCCTTGGACCATAAATTTACTAGTTCAGATTGGTTTTTTGAAGTTTAGAAACCAGACCACACCACAAAATGTATTAAACCTAATTATAAATAATATATTTATTAATGTATATAATATAATAATAACATATGTATGTATGTATTCATTTAACATTTCATACATTATCGTTGTTTGTTTCAAATTTTTAACTTGTAATTTAATACCCAATGATCTGTTTATGTTTGAGAAAGTGCAAATGTAATTTATATAATAGTAATAGGTGGCACTTGTTAACATTTCATTTTGATATTTGAATTGTATTTGTTATTTATATAGGTATGCATGTTATTGGGGCTTTCTAATTGGGTTAAGCACAATAGAATGACCCAAACCATATTAGAAAATCGGACCAAACCATAATAGAGCAGTTTGGTTTGGTCTGAGAATTTGTCAAACCGTAATTTACTGGTTTGGTCTGAGATCTCCAAACTGAACTAAACTAGACCCTGAACACTCCTATTTAGAGTTTTGGTAAGCTTTGGTCCCATCCCAACCCTGAAGAGATTTTCTAGGTTTTGCAATATCATCATTATCATCTAAGTCCTATCCCAACTATATGGGTTGGTTACATGAATCCTGTTTCGCCATTCCATTCTGTCTGGTGTCACATCCAGATGCCCCAGCATACCCTTGCCCATTTGACACCACACCTGGATTAAGGTGTAGCATGTAGCTTCCAGGGAACGCCCTAGCATGAGCATGAAAAGACAAATATATACATATTTTTGTTTTTATTTCCCCCAATATGCATGTATATATTTATGTGTATATGTCACAATCAGTAATAAGGTTCTGTTAACATGATATTTTACCTTGCATCCAAAGTATCTGCACAGAATGGATACATACTATATGAAAACCATACTAATTTTCAGCAATGAGTCGTTATATTCTATCTTAAAAGCAAAAGGAAACAAGTAGGGAGAAATTGTTTTGAACAGCTCAGCAGGGAGAAATTGCTTTCCTAGAAGTATTGCCATCAAAAGTCCTGAACATAGTAAAGTAATTTAAAAATTTCTGGAGAAATCTATTGTATCTTGCAGTGAAGGATTTTAACTGAGACTCTTTTTTTATGGATAACAGAGTCTTTATTGATTGAAAGTGAAAAAATAAGGATTTTAACTGAGACTCATTCTAACTATCATTTAAGTTTGAAAACATGCATCTTCAGACATCTTTGCAGATAGAAACCAAATACTACTAAGAGAGATAGAGAGATATGCCTTATGCCTACTGTTATAACTGCCTATCGATGTCTCAATGTTGCAACATACTGATGTAGTTCAAAACTTTCTAGAGAAATTTGCTGCAACTTGAAGATGCAAGAATAAGATATGGGGGTTCAACTTGTTAAATTCTAAAACAGTAAGAGCCCTCTAAGGCTCTCCACCTAACGAGAAGACCATTTTGACTAGGGAATGTTCATAATGCACAGAACCATATATGTGACACAACAGGAAACAAAATTAAAAAAAAAAAAAAAAAAAACAACTTCAATGTCTAATTGAATCATATACACTTTTACCCAGGTTGATCTTCAATGAGACTCCTTTAGAACCTGCTCAGATTCAATTTGAAGCTAATTAAGACTAAAATGGGGATCATCTCATAATTAGTTTTCAGCATAAAGTCAAAAAAAGTCATTCTCATGGATGGACCTACAGGACCTATCCAACCTTGTTTATGGTGCATCAGATCTTGGGAAAGGTTTTCTTGGGATGCTGCCCATAATAGGCCAACTTTTGTTGGTTAAAAATGCTCTTAGTCTGGAAAATTCATGCCTGGATACTTAATAGTTATTAAGGGGGTGTTCTATAACGTGGATGAGAAATTGGTGGGTGTGAACTGGTCCACACCACACTCTGTGGCAGGGACCAATCCACACCACACTACTGTTTACACCTGTTCTGAATTGTGGACAGAAACTGTCTATACCCACAGGGGCATTCTGCAGGTGTAGTGTGGATTTGTCCACACCACACCTATTGATTTCATACATCTCATATACAACTTGTGAGATAATTTACACAATCGATCATGTAGGGATGCAAACGGATTGGATTGGATTCAAATCAAGGTATATCTGATTCCGATCCAATAGCAGAATAAAAGATCCAATCCAATCGGATCCAAAGATCCGATTGGATCTCACAAATGGCTATTCAAATTCGAATCTGTTAAGGATGTCAGATATCTGAATCTAATCCGGTCCGATTCAAATTATGAAAAATTTAATAAATTATTAAAAGAAAAAACAAAAAAGTTTATATAAAGAAAAACAAAAAACATAAGTTATTTTTTCAACTATTTTCATCATATATATTAATATATACATGTCTTTTTATAAAAAAAAAAATTAAAAATGCAATATAAACATATTTATAAATAAATATATTAATATATACACGTATTTTTATAAGTAAATATGTTTATAAATATATAAATATATGTATCAGATCGAATCAGATCCTGTTAGATCGGATAGGGGTGATCCAAATTCCAATTGGATCCGATCCAAAAATCCCACAAATGGTTATCTGAATCTGACAAAAATAGGATCGGATTCAAATTGGATGATCTAATCCATTTGCACCCATATGATCATGAATGGAAAAAAAAAACTACAATTTTAGCAAAAAAAATTGAAATAATAATGGAAAAAATAAAACACCAATACATAATTACTAATAAATATATTTATCATTATAATATTATCTTCAGCAATAAACAATTTAAAAAATAATTTCAATATAAATTAAAATATATTAAAGGTTAAATAAAATGAGGGTAGTTTGACCAGTATTAACACTCCTGCATTACACTGAACCATTCCCACAAATTGTCCATACCATAGTGTGGCCGATCCATAGTTTTCAAGGCATCTAGGTGACCCTGAGCGACATTGGGGCGCCTAGTCGCCTAACCGCCTAGGCAGGTGCCTAGGCATTGCCTAGGCGATACAAATTTTATAATATAAAAAACTGACTTTTGGCTAGTTTCCTAGTTTTATATACCATTAAGAACATTAAATTTCCTCTAAAAATGTGGCAAATCATCAATCTAAAAGATAATACTACTATCTTTTAACATTAAATTTTACATATATTAATTTCATTATTTTCAAAAATAATACTACTATAATAAGTATTTGA